CTTTGTCTATCCGAATTGAATTGATCCCGGAAGATTATTGTCGAGAAGGTTTCAGTAGTATAGAACAATCCTTCTTATTGATTATGTAAGAGAGGCAAGTACCTTATATACATGTATGCCTTAAGTCCATATACAAACCCAATGACATACAAGAATATAATGACCACAATATAGCTCAATGCCTCCTTCTCAAGGTGGAGTGTGGAAGTTACAAACACCCAATTTGAGTAAGAATGCTTCAGATTCACGACGTCCGAGTGCTTTTGTCATAATATCAGCGAGCTGAGACTTTGTGGAAACGTGTTTCGTCGCAATTGTACCTCGTATGATCTCGTTGCGTATAAAATGACAGTCATTACCCACATGCTTGGTGCGCGCATGATACACCGGATTAGCGGCCAAGTTAATAGCTGATAAACTATCTGAATGCAGAATAATAGGTTTCGTACATGGAATCCCCATCGCTGGCAGTAACCCGCGAAACCAGAGAAGCTCACTAATCGTATCAGCCATCGCTCTATGTTCCGCTTCAGACGATGATCGAGAAACCACATCATGTTTCCGTGTCTTCCAAGGCACCGGAGAGCCTCCAAACTGAATAAACCATCCAGTCAGTGATCGGTGAGTGAGTGGACATGCAGCCCAGTCAGAATCACACCAACCCGTCAACTTCAGTTCTGCGTGTGCTCGCAAAAGAATACCTTGGCCAGGACTATGCTTGAGATATCGTACAGCTCGTAAAGCCGCGTCCCAAAGTTCTTCATGCGGATCATTCATGAACTGAGATAAAATATGTATGACATATGATATTTCTGGTCTTGTTACCCCGAGGTATATGAGTCTGCCGATTAATCTGCGGTACCGAGATGGATTTAAGATTCAATTATCCTTAGCTAGAGCAAGTTTATGATTTTGCTCAAGAGGAAACGTGACTGGTTTAACTCCAAGCAACCCAGTCTCAGCAATGATATCTGCCGCATATTTCCGTTGGCAAAGATAAATACCCATAAGACTACGTGCAACTTCAATTCCCAGAAAATATTTCAAAATCCCAAGGTCCTTCATGTGAAACTGCTTGCTCAAATACTCTTTAAACTCCGACACAATTTCAGCCTTGTTGCCTGCAACAATGAGATCGTCAACGTACACCAAGACATGTAGCCGAACTCCAACCGCGCGCAGTGTAAACAAAGATAGAATAATCAGATTGATTCTGCTCAAACCCATATTTTGTCAAAGCAGTTGTAAGTTTAGCGAACCAGCATCTAGGGGCTTGTTTTAACCCATATTTTAAAAACCCACAGCATCTAGGGGCTTGTTTTAACCCATATTTTAAAAACCCACTTGCATCCAAGTGATTTCTTCCCTGGAGGGAGTGCTTCTACCATCCATGTACCTTGATCCTCGAGTGAGTCAATCTCATGAGTAACCGCAAAGCGTCAGTTTTCATCCAAAATAGCTTCCGCGTAACTCCGAGGTTCAACCGCAGAAGTAATAATAGCCAGGAAAGCTTGATAATTATCTGAAAATTGCTCACCTGAGAGATATTTATCCAATGGATATGGAGTCACAGAGGATGATGGGTTGTGGAGCAGAGTGACAACATAATCTGCTAGTCGATTCGGTTGTTTCTTCTGTCTCATCCCGCGACCAAGAAGCTCTGGTTCAGGCTCCATTATGATGTCAACAGGAGCAGGAATCGGACGTTCTGGTGTAGGATTTATATTATTCTCCGTGTCTGTCGAGACTGTTGTTGTTTCTGTAGTAACAACATGCGATGATAACAGCTGATCGGCTTCATCATGTTGAGCAGTAGGCTCAGGTTCCGTGATACCAGAAGAGATGTCAGCATCAGTGGGAGTCGGTGGTGACACTGGTGCTTCAGTAGTCGTACCCTCTGGTTCAAACAAATCACAAAGAGGTTGTTGCTCTAGCTGTTCCGTAGGAGTAGTGACAACAGGTAGAGCAGAGAACCCAAAGTCTGTTTCAAGAAAAAAACATCGCGACACTGTAACAGACCCTGTTGCGAGATCATAGACACGCCAGCCCTTCTTAGCAAAAGGATATCCAATAAAAATCGACTTGTTCCCACGATTTTCGAATTTATCTCCACCATGTTTTTGATTATGAACATAGCAAACACAACCAAACACCCTTAAATGCTCCAGAGGTGGTGGTCTATTGTATATCACCTCATAAGGTGTTTTCCCTTGAAGCAATGGAGTTGGTGTACGATTAATAAGGTACCTAGCAGTGAGTGCACAATAGCTCCAAAATTCAGTTGGGAGCTTAGCCTGAAACCGAAGAGCACTTGCCGTGTTCAAGATGTGTCTATGTTTCCGTTCAACTCGACCTTTTTGCTGAGGAGTTCCCACACAGCTCGCCTCATGAATGATACCGTGTTCAGCAAAATAATCTGAGAGACACACAAATTCCGACCCATTATCAGACCTGATTGTCTTCACTGTACTCGAGATCTGCCTTTCCAAAAGGGCAATAAATTTTTTGAGATGTTTTGGTGCTTCAGTTTTCGATGGTAAAAGATATATCCACACTGCCCGAGAATAATCATCAAGTATGGTGAGAAAGTAGTGAGATCCACAGATAGCAGTAGTTCTATATAGACCCCAAAGATCACAGTGTATCAATTCAAAAGCAAAACTCGTCTTATTGATACTCAAAGGGAAAGAATATCTTGTTTGTTTTGCGCGAATACAAATCTCGCACTTCTGGGAATCAAAATTACTAAAATCAGAAAACTGAAACACCTTCAAAGCTTTAGAGGAGGGATGTCCAAGACGGGAATGCCACATATCAGCTGCGAGCGAACTCGAACTCTGCACTGCTGCCGCCATGTCCATTCCTCTGAAAAAATACAATTCATTCTCCTGCTCACCCACACCAATCAGCATCCTCGAAATGCGATCCTGAAGAATACAAAGTCTATCAGTAATCTGAGCAACACAACCTCTGTTCCGAGTCAACTGAGAAACATAAATGAGATGAAACTGCAATCCATCAACAAAGAACACTTGTTCCAAACTTAGCAAAGGACCCAATCTCACACGACCTTGCTTAGTCGAAGTGGTAAACCGGCCATCCGGAAGTTTTATCATTACTGGAGCCATATCAACAACATCAACCAAAAACTCAAATATTCCAGTTATATGATTTGTTGCACCTGTGTGTATAATCCAAGATTCAATGAAGTGTTTACCTGATCGATCCTCTGCTGGTGGTGCTTTTTTGTCATTAAGCATTTGAACCAAGGTCTTCCACTGATCATTGTTGAGTCCAGTGATTCCCACTCGATCAGCAGATGTGAGAGCTTGAAATGCATTTATAGCAGCAACAACATGATTCGCTTGAACTGATCCACGGCCAGTTCCGCTTCCTTTACCGTTTTGCACACCAGCTTGAGGGATCGAACTGCGACCAGCACCATTGTTTCCACGCGAAATTCCCGGTCTGTTCTTTTGTCTTTCTTCATACCATTCCGGGTATCCAATTAGCCTGAAACAATTCTCAGCAGTATGTCCTTTCTTACCGCATTCGAGCATGCCATGTTTTCGTATGATCCTCTAGCTTCGGTAGAAGAGCATGGAGGTCGAGCATTTGTCCGGACTGCGAAGCTCGCTCCATCTGTTCGCTCCTCATTCAATCGACCCACAAGTTTCAATTCTTCATCTTGAATCAGTGTGTTGTATGCTTCTTCAAGAGTAGGCAATGGAACTCGCGATAACAGAGAGGATTTCACTCCTCCGTACAGATTTTCATCAAGACCCATGAAGAACTGATGCAGTTTATCTTCCTCACGATCCTTTCTAACCTCTTCCATGGTCTTGGCTTTCTGGTAGTCAGCCAAGCTCCTCCACAGTTGAGAAAGCTTTCCAAAATAAGCTTCAATTGCAACTCATTTTTGTTGACAATTTGCCAACTCTGTTTTGAGTCGTTGAACTCGTTGCCCATTCTTGACTCCAAAACGTTTCTGAACATGTGTCCAGAGTTCATGAGAATCGTCAATATGAGTCATGGAAGCTGCAATGTTCTCGTCTATTGTCAATTTCATCCGAGAGACCACAAGAGCATTATTAGCGATACAATCCTCATAGTCTTCTTATTCTTCACCGGGATGCGGAATGGTTCCATCCGCAAAACCAAACTTCTTTCTTGCCTTCAAAGCCAATCACAGGTTGGTGGACCATTCGTCATAGTTAGGTCCTTTCAATGGTGGTTTGGAGATGAGAGTTCTTGGGTTGTCGCCTGCAGTAAGGTCATATGGCGAAATCATTCGTCTTTTCGCCGGCAGCACAGTGGTAGTGAGAGCCGAGCTTGTCTCCATTATCTCAAAGCAGAAACGTCAAAGAAAACAACTCACAGCAGATCGAGTAGTTCCAGAATCAATAAGCCAAATCTTATAGTTTAGATTTGAAGCTTTGATACCATGTTAAGAATGTTTCAGTAGTATAGAACAATCCTTCTTATTGATTACGTAAGAGAGGCAAGTGCCTTATATACATGTATGCCCTAAGCCCATATACAAACCCAATGACATATACAAGAATATAATGGCAACAATATAGCCCAATAATGATTTATTCGTATTCAACCGATCAACCCATTTTTTGTTGAATATGTAAGATAATATTTTGGATTATGAGTATTATTTCGAACCTGAGAACATCAACTATTGTCCAAAAAATCTAGAAAAAAATAGAATAGATATATATATATATATATATATATATATATATATATTTTATTCGTAAACAATATTTAAAACCTTTGTAAATAATTTAAATTTTATATATTTAATTGAATTTTCTTTTGATTTTTTTTCATCTTTGAATTTTCTTTTGATATGAAATGGTGCACTTCAAGTATTATTAACCTTGAGATGTACACGTGGCTCGGTTTTGACTGGTCTGAACCGGTTCGGTACGGGGTTAGAACGTAAGAAGGAAAAATGAATAAACCAACAGGGAAGGTGGGAGGAAAGAGAGGAATCAGGTTGAGACAGAGGAGGAGGAGGAGCCTGTCCTTGGTGTCAACGCACAAACCCTAAATCCTCCATCTTAGAGCACCCAAGAACAAAAGCTCCTTCCTTTTGTCGAATCTGATTAAATAGTAATAACCTTTTTCTTCGTCTTCGTGCTATGTTCTGTTTCATCATTGTAGATTCTGAAACATCTGTTTCTCTGTATAGTGTCTTTGTCTTTTCTTTTTTTTTGTCTTGCACTCACTTGGGTTAATGTTGAATTGCTTTCGAGGTTTTAGCTAAAAACCTTAGGTGGCGCCAAGATCATCATGTTCTTCCATAGGCTTTCAAGATTAGGTTGTCGTATTGCCAAAGAGCTTTCAAGAGGTATTTATTTATCTCTTTTGTTTTTTTCTTGCAGTTGTTGTTTGGTTTTGGATTTGGTCTATTGGTTTTGGTCGCGGAAGCAAAAGCTAAAATGTTTTCTCTGTATTTTAATCCATTGTTAATGTTATGGGGGCAGAGAGGCATTTCTCAGTATGTGGAAGGAGGATTCTACAGAGGTCTTATGGCCATTATCTTCAATCTTCGGTTCGTCTCTGACGCTTTGTTCTCAGTTTGTGAATGTATAATCTTACTTGGTTCATTGAATAGACAGAATCTTTCCCATTCTCAATAGCTTTAGATGGAGAGTTTTATTCTTTCGTAGCCTCTCTGCTCTGATCCCATCAGCCTATCTATAAGCTTTGTTGAAACTGATTTTGGTTTTGTACTCTTTGCTAATTCTGAAAAGGGCAAAATATTTGAGGATGTAATGAAATGGATTATAAATTATTAAAGTTATCATTAGAGAGAATTTAAAAGGTAATGCTTTTGGCTCAAAGAGCTAACCGAAAGTTCTTGATATGTCGCTTAGACATATTACTATGCCTTATGTAAATGAATTAGCTTAGAGGTTGCGATTCATATTTTTCTCTAACAAAAATTCTATCTTGATTTGATATCTCTGCTCTTTCTTCCTTTTTGACAAGGCTGCAACACAGACGCAATCTAGGAATTTTCAGCAAGCCTTTTTCTCAAATAATTATAATCTGTGTACATCCTTCAGCACTTCCTCTGACAAGAGCGGTGAAGAAACAGAAAAGTAAGTTTTCTGATTTATCTATTAAAACATTCAGCTCTTGACAACAAGAACAGATTGTTGACACGTGAGTTTTATACAGAATAAACGTTATCTTTGTTGATAAAGATGGAGAGGAGATTCATATTAAGGTCCCAGTTGGAATGAACATCCTTGAAGCTGCCCATGAAAACGATATAGAACTCGAAGGCACTATTTTCTTCCATCTTATCTGATGATATGTTTTTGCTTAAACCAAGATAGTAACTAACGTCACAGGTTTTTTTTTTTTTTTATATCTTCAGGGGCGTGTGAATGTTCTCTAGCGTGTTCGACGTGCCATGTTATTGTTATGGTAAAACGAACTCTCTCTTTCTTGAATTAGATTGATCTTAAGTTAAGTGTCTTTAAACAACTAGTTATAAACTTTGGTTGATAATTAGGACACGGAATACTACAACAAACTCGAAGAACCAACAGATGAAGAGAACGATATGCTGGATCTTGCTTTCGCGTTAACTGAAACGTGAGTTCTCTCTCTCTCTCTCTCTCTCTCTCTCTTAAGCTATAAAATGGTCTTACTTGGTTTCTTTGGAAAATGATGTTCATATGTTCCATTTGAAAATTGTGCATAGGTCGAGATTGGGATGTCAAGTGATAGCAAAGCCAGAGATAGATGGAATACGCCTAGCCATTCCTTCAGCCACCAGGAATTTCGCAGTTGATGGGTTTGTTCCAAAACCTCACTAAAGCCAATTTGAATGTCTCTCACATCAGATGATTTTTTGGTTTGTTTTCAGTGAGTTGAGCTGTTGAGAGTTTACACTTTTGTTTATTATTCGAAAACACCATATTACATGAAAACCCTGAGGAGTTCATAGATTTTGTAATTCATAAGGTGGGATTTCACAATTATCAAGCATTATAACTACAATAAGCTCTTTCAGAGTTGTCTTCTTGCATCTTCTCTCTTTGAAGTAGGCGACTTGTTATACCTTGATCACTTCTTCTGATGCCATTAATATGAGCTGTTAGAGGCTTGTTTCTGTTCTGAAATAGCCGAGAGTGATCAATAATAGATAATTTTTAAAACTAAAGTAGCAACTTGGATTCATCAACCTGCCTTTCCATCACAATGAGTAAGAGCCTAGCAAAGATCTGAGAAAGTCTGATTCTACAATCCGATTCAGACAAATCTGATATAAACTGAGCCAAAGCGTATTGATCATACCTTTCACTTCTGCTACTTTAACCTCTCTTTGGTCTCATACGTCTATTTTTCCCTTAATGAAACTGATAGTACAGCTTAACCCTTGCTGAAACCTTTCTTGTCTGTCACGCAAACGTTGCTTGATGTGTGATAAAAAAAAGGAACTGGCTCCTGACCTAAAGATTGTTTGACTGGTGAAACGAAACATGCATTTCTCGAGCCTTCCATGATTTTTTGGACAGGTTTCTACAATATGCTTTGCAGCGATGATCTTCAGACAGGTTTATTATTATTCTTTGCAGCGTTTGTTAATGTTATCTTGATTTGGTTTGACATCTCCACTGCATAAAGCTATGGTGTTTGATGTTAGCCATGGATAGTGAAGTGATCAGACGGTTGAGATTTTTGAGGGAATATGAGAAACATACTGAAAATTTGACTCCCTTCATAATTAAAACGTAAGAAGAAAAATATTAACACAATGCTCCATAAGTCTTTCTGACAAAACCAAAAACAAGAAAAAACATCCAGAGATGGTTCATGGAACTTATATCAAGTCTAGAATTTGGCAACCTGCAATCGAATCCAAGACCCATGAACTACTTGCAGCTCTTGCATTAACAGATCTAGCCAAGGCCTCAGCATCGGATCTTCTTTCCGTCAGAGTTTTCTTCTTGCTCGGCTCAACATTAAATACTACGATCGTGGAAGCTTCATCATCCTCATTAGAAATGGGTCGCCGGCGCAGGATTGTTCCTCCTGCTGCGACAATCATATCTTGAAGATACCCTTTGTAAGCAACCTCGAAATCTCCCTTCATGTAAAACTTTAGTCCTTCAAAAAGTTTTGGTTTCTGCATAATGTAGAATGAAACCATTTTAGACGATAGTATGTTTGTAACATAAAGAGAACACAGGGAGAGAGAGAGAGAGACGAAGCAAAACCTTGTTCAAAGCTCTTTGTCTTCCAGTATATGGTCCTTGCCGTGTTCCATGAACATCAATGGAAACCTCATATGGCTCCTCGCTTACATATTCTCTGTTTTTCATACAGGCCTTGATCCCTGCAAGAAAAGATATACGAACATTTTTGACAAATTGTTGATTTAATAAATCGCAAACATACATGTTGCCTTGCTGCTAATACTTACAGTCAATGCTCAGAATCCATTTCCCCTCCAAGATCCCCATCATGAATTTGAGTGTCCTTTTGCAGGCTCCATTTTCGTTGGTTGATGCAATGACATGTGTAACTCTTGGCTCCCACTTTGTCGAGATTGTAACTCCAGACAGCTCAGCAAATTCAGAAATCACACTCTGCAACCAAAGCCATCCTTCTAGTTTAAGTTTTAACGTCGAGAGGGTGTGATAAAGCAAAAAGAGTATGTTTCTATATTTTTCGTACCTTCTCTTCTTCTGTAAGTCCTGAACAGCATAGAACCATTTTCTTGGGTAATCCATGAAAAGGCTTGCACTGGAGCTCACTGATGTCAGTCTTTTCAGATACTTGATTAGGCTGAGATTGCAGTGGTCTAGAGAAGATAGACATAGTTTTTGTCAGCACTCTGATTTCAAACACTAGAATCACCTTATAGTCTTTATCAGTAAGATAGAAAAACATTACCCTTTAGGATTACGCTTGCGTTTTCTTTCTTTTGGACTAGTCTCTTCACAGGGCAACTTAGATGATGCATCCATAGGGCATAGCATTACAAAGTTTTTCTGTTGATAAGAAAGATGTTAGAAAGAACAGTACAAGGGCTTTTACATAACCTATGCAACACTTACATCGTCCCATCTGCATTCTGGTATCAGTTTTGCACACGTAACGTGAAAACTATTCTTGCAACTCTCGTTGTAACAACCAAGTGCTGCCCCTTTAAGCCCACAGCAACTGCAAGTTATTCTCCGGCTTCTTGTCAGCTCCACATCAAGGTTGACTGCGGTAAGTTTGTTGAAGTATACATTTGGAGCCCTGAAAATGCAATAAGGTTTCATGCTGTTTAAATTATTCAAAAGGCATGAGTTACTACTATAACCAGATATCTTACCATTCAGCACAGTTTTTGTGAACATGTATGACCTTAGACCCACCATCAAAATCTGCAGAGACAGGTTCACCTTTATGGTAGTGAGCCATTTTCCCTGAAGCCTGTCAGTTAAAACATTCCAACTCAGAATCAACTAACGGTTACATCTAGGACTCCAATGTAAGATAGTGAAGCCTACCTCTGTTTCATCTGAGGATTGACAGAATGCACAAGTTAATTTATTTGTTGGTGCTCCATCACATCGTCGCAGAAGTACACTACTTCCAAGTGAGGGTTTGTTTATCGTTGAGCGTTTCTCTGAATCTTGCACGGTATGATTGCCTTCATCCACATTGGATTTCTTTTTGTTCGTTGACTCTTGTCCATCACGCACTTGATTCAACTCATCACTTGGGATTTTCTTGCCACGCGGTTGAGTACCTCTGCTTGGAATTGCACAGGGATCGAGCTTTGATCTCTTTTGAGAAGTCTTATTTTCACTTATCCCAGACAGATCACCCGTTTGGGATTTTCTTCTCTTTTTCACTGAGGGTTTCTCTGCAGGACTTTGTTTTTCTGTTTCAAGTGAGAGCTCATTAGATCCATCAACCGTGTGCTCTGCAGAAACCTTAACGCTAGATCTTTTCCTCTTTGTTCTCTGCTTTCCCTCGGTTTCAACAGATATTTTTACACCAGACTGAACTCCTGAAGCCTGGCCCTTGTTTCTTGTAGCCCGTTTAGCTTTCACATTTTCATCAAGCTTTTCATCTGTCCTGATAGATTTGCCAGAAGTCCCACCAGTCTCTTGTTTCTCACCAATACTTTCTCCTGCAGACGATGCCATGTAGTCCTCATTGGAAACCCCAACACGTACTTTAGCAGCTTTATTTTTCGCACTTCCTGCTTTGCGTTTTTTATTTGATGACGCATCTTTAGATAGTTTCCTTAGAGGAAGATCAACCTCACCTCTACCTAGTGCCTGCAAAATAATTTGAAAGTTTTCAGTTAATTTCAACCGACCTGAAGAAACTATCAAAAAAGGCGAACATCTGTCTGTATTAGATTAATGAAGGTCCTTTACCTTGGCCTTCACAGGACTTGGTAGAATCTCTGGAGAAGAAGCCCTTTGAGTCCATTCAAACATTTCACTGTCAAAGATGTCTCCCGCATTTGGCTTTTCTTGCCCAACAGCCTGAAACATTCACCCAAAGAAAGAAGTTAGATCAAAGGACCCCATAATGTTTTTTTTGGATATTGGATTTATTAGGGGATTTTACGAGTAATAGATATGCGTCAAATAGCTAGAGGTTGGAGTATTCATTGTGAACAGAAGTAAGCATCCACAGGATAACTAAGATGGTTCAAACAATTTCTCTAACAACTCAGGGCAAGTGTAGCATGTTTGAATATCACAAACTAATATTTTGCACTATAGTACTGAAAGATAGCACTGAAAAGCGCTGTTGGGGTTTCAAGTACTTACTTTGGATGGGCTCTCATGATCCGAGTCCTTCAAATCACTGAAAGAGGGAACATCAACAGGTGTAACATCTAAAAGTTGATCACTTTCTGTTGGCTGGCTTAAGCTCTCCCTATCATCTTCATCTCTCAACCAAAACAAAGGTGCCAGATTCTCTTCTTTACTCAGACTCGGATGCTCACTCAAACGAATCACAGTTTTATCAGTGTAGTCCTTGAGATTTCCAGCTGATTCAAGAGATTTTGTCGATTTTGTTAAACTTTCAGAAGAGGGAATTTGCGAAAGCTGCACCCTTTTATTGGTTTGGGATGAAGGTTTCATAACAATAGGAGCAGAGGAATCTACATCTGTCTCCTTGGTTTTCTTAGACCCTCTCCTCTTTGATGTTCGGGCCTTACTAGATCCCTGACGTTTCTTGCCATTTTCCTTCTCAATGGAAGCATCTCCCACATGCACTTCTTTTTCTATAGACACACATTAACAAAGCGGTACTTACCTCTTCATTCATATAAATAAAGTACAAAAATTTGCTGAAAAACAAGCTGAATACCCTCCAGCTACTAATATTAGTTAAGTATGCTTCTTTTCATTAAAGATAATCATATCCTAACAAGGCAACAATAATTATACCTGGTGATGATGGTTTAGCCTGGCTGTTGACACCAGAAGCAACTTGCATGTTCTTGTAGATGCTCACCAAGCTATCCATATGAGGAGCACCTCGAATCTCTTAACAAACATCATAATTATCAAAAACTGGGTATGACAAAGCTGAGATTAAAATTAAGAGAGGTTAGTGACGTGTAGTACCTCTACGATGGAAAGGGATTTTACAGACAGGACAAGTAGCATCAACTTTCATGGATTTCACTACACATTCACTGAGAGAAGACAAAGAGTGTTTAATACTCTCGACTATATTAAAAGAAAAGACTTTTGGAAAGGAAAACAAAAGAAGGAGTGTTGTTCTTACTTGCAGAAGACATGGTTGCATGAAAGCGAAACTGCAGAATTAAATAGACTCAAACTGCCAATAAGAAAGTGAAAGTTGTTTAATTCTAACACGATGGATTGAGGAAGAGAATGACGAAATCAGGGTTTCCCCTATCTCATAGAGAGAGAGGAGGAGAATTTACCAGAGAGGGCAGTTGAGTTCTCTACCCATCTTCTCCAGGTGAGTTGTTGCGTTGTCTCCCATCTTCTCTCTTTCGATCTGATCAATTAAAGCACTGATGCGACTCTCTTTCTCTCTCTGCTCTCTGGGTATATAGATAGAGATGGTGAAGCGTATCCTTCAAAGAGCTTCCCTTGTAAGCTTATTAGTGACTAATAAAACGTTTCGTGAGAAAGTCAAGCCGCGAATTTTTATTTTTATTTTACTTCCAAATGTTTTCACTCCCGCCCTAAATGACAATAGAGTATTTGCACTCTACACATAAATTTTATGTCATAATTCACTACATATCCTATTTATTCTTTTATCTCTCATCTCCCACACATTACTACTTTTTCTACCAAAATATGGCAAATCCCTAATTTCTTATTTTGTTAAGAATTTCTACCCAATTCACTCGTAACAATATTAGATGAAAATTGTTTTGTTTTTGTTTTCCTTTTCCAACCTTAAGTTTTGTTAGTTTTTGAGATTTGAACCCCCCCCCACTATTTCTGTTTATCGATGATATGTTGACCCACGTGTACTTCTTAAGTTTCTCACAAGAACCAATTGTAACAGAGTTCCACGCCACGAGGATTTTACTCATCCAACACCTTGTACGCACTACAAACAGTAATAGAGAGTTATAGAGCAAACAGCAGAGACGGAATCACCAATCTCAGCCACCCTCTGTTCAATAATTCAAGACATTTGATGGACGCTATGGCGGATTGAAAAGGCGTGGCTTTGCTTCAGTTTCTTTAAGAGCTTTATGGAGACATTTTTTCTCTCTTTTCTCCTTCCTAGACTCAGATAAAATGTGACTTTTTTTTTATCGCATTTGTTCTGCATATCTCAATCGAACAGCTTTCTATGTGTCTCTCTGTCTCTTTGCTCATCTTTGATTGATTCATTCTCACCGTGTATCAGAACTTCACAGCCATGAGATTTTGGCTTGAGGATTAAACACAGTGACACATAAAAACAAAAAAACAAAAAAGCACATTTTGTCTAAACCCTTTTGATCATGAAAACATCAATTTGGTCATTCTTTGCGCTACAGTTTTTTTTTAACTTTTGAGTTTTCTGCATTCCAATTTATCTGCTTAACTTTGGAATTGGTCTGTTTCAATTACCCATTAAATGGTTGCTGCTCAAGATTCTGAGCCCATCCCATCCATGACTCTATTATATGCTTTAATAACCAAAGCTTTTATCTCTATGGACATGTGAAATGAACAAGACAATTCTGCATTACCTGAACATCTCGTCCGTAAATGAATAGCTATGACAACAATATCAATAATGGTTAAGCTCACTCAAGGTCAATTCAACACTTCAGGGAAGATACTCTTATGTTAATAAGAAGTGGAGATGAGAGAGAGGAATTAGGGCACGCACCTGTTTATTGCTAAAGAAATTTTAAAGATCTCTTAAGTGGGCCATAATGAAAAAAAAAATTAAATGGACTAAAGAGAAGAAAACAGAAAGAGAGAGATAGGAACAAAAGATGAAAAAACAAGGGAGAGAGATAGGAACAAAAGATGAAAAAGCAAGGGAGAGAGATAGAAGGAATGTTCCTTTTAGACCTTAATTAAGGTACATCCCTTCACTTTTTTTTCTTTTTTGCTTTTCTTTTAATTATAAAATATTCTAAGAAACCTACTTAAACTACTGCAATAAACATGGTCTTAAACAAAGAGCTAGCTAATGCTATTTTACCAAGAGAGAAGGGTAATGTAATCCAAAATTCCCTAAACAATATACTTGAACCATACATACATACACTCTTCAAAGTAAATGAGGTTGAGACATGACTTAGTGAGATAACAAAGAAAAAGAAAAGAGTAGTGAGTGTGATTATAATTCTTGCCATTTTTGTTCTTTCTTGTTTAATAAACCAAAGGAGATGATAAAATTTTACAGTAGAATCAAAAGGAGCTTTTTACTGTTTAACTCAAAATACTGACTTTTTTTACATCCATGCTAGCCTGAATCTTTACTAAGAAAAAAATCATTTAAGTTGAACAACATTTGCTTTATGACTCTTTGAGCAAAACAAAAAACGAAGACACAAGTTTGATGCAGAGCGAGGAGCAATTACTGCAGACTCATGGCGGCGAATGGGACAAGAGTTAAACCATGAACGGGATAGGTTTGAGCTGCTCGAGTTAAACCAAGATTTGGCGTACCAAACATCATAGGGTAAGGCTGAGCTGCTGGACTTGTTATTGTACCTTGAGCAGTAAGATTTGGTGTTCCAAATGTCATAGCATATGCTTGAACTGGTGGAGTTGTTGGTTATACCATAAGCTGCAAGGTTTGGTGTGCCAAACAACAAAGGACAAGAACCATTGGTAGAAAAGAACAACCCGGCAAGATTTGTGGTACCGTTCAAGTCCAAGTGACCAGAAGGAGAGGAGCTACTCGTGGCTCCACATGCTGTGCATCCATGGGTGTAGCCAATAAGAAAACCAGAAAATGCATATACATTATGCAATAAAGATTTGAGTTAAGTTAGTTTACCTTTGTCTCCCATTTTGTAATCTTCCCACCTCAATTCTTCTTCATGACTTTTATGTCCATGCGAGTTGGAAGCAGATATGGAGATAATCAGCTTGCCTTGACCTCCAGAAAAAGAATCAAGATCTGGTGTAGGTGCATAACGAGGATACCTACTACCTTGTTGAGTCTCAACACCATCCAAAAAGGAACCACGACCAGGAACATCATTATAATAAATTATCAATAACAAAAATAAACTAACACCAAATCACATCAACTAATTTTGGTTTTTGCTACCATTCTTCAGTTCATTTTCTTCAGGTGGTATAGTGAAATCTTTATCAAAATCTAAAATTTACAGATAAAATAGTGTAGTAGGTATTATGAATGATAAAACGTTAGAAAGTTTAATCTAAAATTAAAGAAAAAGACGGCAATGCCAATAACTAAAATGTGAAAACCTAACTTTTAAATTATAAATTTAAAATATAAAACAGAATAAAAAATAACCCGCGTTATAATATATTAATTGAACCAATAGACTTTGGATTTTGGATTTTAGTGGTTTTTCTGGGTTTTTACGGGTTTTTAAATTTTGGTTTTCTAACAAAACCCGAATCAGATTTATTTTGAGTCACTGAGTTTACCAGTTCAATCGTGGATCCTGGTCGGGTTTCAAAACACCGGGAGGGAGAGACGACCGAGATGAAGAGGAGGAGCTCTCTCTGGTTTCAGTGTATATTTATAGGTAATTAATGATTTTTTTGATTTCTCCACACGTCACTTAGACCACCATTATCGCAGTCTTTTCTGCGTCTTTAAAGGTGGAGAGGGCCCATTAAAAGAAAAAATCGGGAACCAATGTTGCCAAATTGGAGATGTTCGGGGTGGGTTTTTGCAACTGTTCGCGGGCCTTACTGATATATGTGATCCGGAATTGATTCATTTTAATTTTTTTTTTTAGTTAGACAAAAAGGAAAAAATAATTAAACACCCAAATGGATATTTGCGATAAAGGTGGTCTTATACGCTTCCTTATATTTTTCTTTTCTTCAGGCGTTGTCTTCACGCTGGATAGTTTCTACAGTATTGTTTTGAAAATAGCTAATATTATTTGGATTTTAATTTCCGCTTTCTTTATATGTTTCTTACTTATGGGCCTTGCAAAAGGCCGAACCTCTGTCAATTATATTGATTGAATATACTAATGAAAGATTGAAAGGTTAATTTCGGATGTTATTATATAAAACTTGGTTATTCCAAGTTACTAGTTAATAAGATTGTGACACATGACAATTATATCTTTATGATTGTGATATGTATTAAACTATTTCATAATTAATATATATATATATAGATAATAACAAAAACGAACTTTGTTTTTAAAAACTTAAAAATATTATGTAATAGTAATTTTTTATTTTTAAAATCCAATATAAAGGATATTTATAAAAATAGTATTTGATAGTAATGTTCGATTTAATATTGTGGCATGTATTAAAATTCTCATGATTAAAAATATATATACTAAGATAATAAAAAAAGAATTTCAAAGATATTAATTTAAAAAAATTGTTTAAAATTACAAGAAAAAAGCTAAAAGTTTTTAATTGTAGTTTTCCTTTTTAAAAGTTCTAAACAAAAAGTTTTTAATTGTAGTTTTCCTTTGCAAAGCTCTTTTTTCTTCTTTCTATAAAGTGAAATCTCTACCGTCTCCTATCAAAATCTCTTTTTCTCCAGATTTTTCTCAGCAAACCAGAAGAAAACGCTTTGTAAGTTATTTTTTTTTAGTTTTTATCATTGCAAGTAGAAGTGGAATCTCTACCGTCTTCTTTCAACATGCATAATGCAATCTCTATTAGTTTTTTCCTTTGTTTCATATGGAATCAAACTTTGTTACCTATTTTTTTTAGTTCTTTCATTTTTGAACGAAACATGTTGTTTATTTTGTATAAGATTATAGCAGCCACAACAACATGCTTTAACCGATTAATGAGAGTTAATAAGATCCGCGCTTAAGTTTGTTAAGATTTCTGTCATGACAAATGGTTATCTTTCATATATATATTCTCCTTTAATATCTTCACTGAGAGTTAAATGTTTTGATGGTGTTATACATCATTTTTTTTGTCTAACAAATTTCCATTTATATGAACATGCAGATCACGATTTAAGTATGTCTTCGCGCCAGTTTCATGGATCAATGTTGCAAGAGGCTTATACGTCTAGAATGAATGATAGGACTAATCATTACCGAAGGATTCTTAACATGTACATGAGGTTCCATGAAGCCGTTGATGCGAAGTATAATGCTGAGGTGGAGGTGTATCGCATTGCCGGTAAACTTGAACTCTTTGAAGAGCTCTTCAACGATGGCGTTATGAACCATGTTAAGGACAAGCTGGAAAAGGAACTTGCTCTTGCTCATGCCCGTCTTGCTGATGTGAAGGTTCCCAATCTCGATTGGGAAAAGCTAGGAGAGCCACAAATATGGCGTTAAGTGATTTTTATCCTCATCTCTTATGATTGAAGGTGTTATGACTATAAACTTTTTAACTGTTGTCTGGTTTAGAAAACCTGTGTTTTTTAATATTTTGATCTATTAAACTGAACCTAATGTTTTTTATGTTACAAGGCTATCTGTCTTAATGTCTTTCGGATTAATGTTTTTCGGATTCTCGGTTCAATCACAAACTGACCTGGTTATGCATAATCCAATTAAAAAACTCAACTAAAAGGTTAAATATACATCACATTCAAACATAAAACTCTCATATAATACAAATCTAATCATTTCATAAATTTTCTTACAACCAAAAATAAACTCGCGCTTCTCAAGCGCGGGTCAAAATCTAGTTAAATTGATTGAATATACTAATGAAAGATTGAAAGGTTAATTTCGGATGTTATTATATAAAACTTGGTTATTCCAAGTTACTAATTAACAAGATTGTGACACATGATAATTATATATTTATGATTGTGATATGTATTAAACTATTTCATAATTAATATATATATATATATAGATAATAACAAAAACGAATTTTGTTTAAAAAATTAGAATATTATGTAAGAGTAATTTTTTATTTTTAAAATCCAAAATAAAGGATATTTATAAAAATAGTTTTGATAGTAATTTTCTATTTAATATTGTGGCATGTATTAAAATTCTCATGATTAAAAATATATATTCTAAGATAATAAAAAAAGAATTTCGAAGATATTAATTTATTTTTTTAAAAAAAATTACAAGAAAAAATCTAAAAGTTTTTAATTGTAGTTTTCCTTTTTAAAAATCCTAAACAAAAAGATTTAAATAAAATAAAAAATAATTTTGAAAATAATAATTTTTAAATATTTTTTAAAAGTAAAAAAAAAGAGTGTATAATTTATATTTTTCCATTTTTAAAAGTCCACAACAATAACTATTCGTAAAACAGATTATTATCAGTTTTCCTTTTCTCAAATCCTACAAAAATATTATTTGATAGTAATTTTCCTATTAAAACTTTATATATGTAAAATTTTATCATATTAAAAAAAAATATTTATGAGTAAAATGAAAATGATTTTACAACAAAAAATAATGTTTTAAAAATTTTAATAGCAATTTTTCTAAACCATTTTTTTTTAAATTTCAAAAAATAAAGATTTGCAAAATAATTGATTTGATACTAATTTTCGTTTTCCAAAATTACGAATAAAAGGTATTTGAAAAAAAATCTATTTTATAGTCATTGTCCGTTTCTAAAATCTTGAACATAAGAGAATTATTAAAGAATGCGTAACTGTTTTTTAATCCTAAACAAAAATATTTGTAGAATAATTATTTCAAATATTTTTATTTTCTTTTCTTCTTAAACTGATGATGATTTTTAATATATATTTTAAGATAATAAATGAATTTTGAAAATATTAATTTAAAAAAATAATGAAAGTAAAAATAAAGAGCTTATAAGTTTTGAATTGTAGTTTTTCTTTATACAAATTCTAAAAAAATTATTTAAAATAATATAAAACGAATTTTAAAATTAATTTTAAATGTCGTTTAAAATTTTAAAAAATAAAGGGTGTTTAAATATAGGTTTCCTTTCTACAAATCCTAATAAAAAAATATTCGTAAAATAATTTATTTATTACCAATTTGTCTTTTCTAAAATACTAAAGAAAATATTATTTGATAGTAATTTGCTTTTTAACTTTGTATATATATTAAAATAAATCATGATTAACAAAATTTATAAACTAAGATAATGAAAACGATTTTTACAAATAGTTTAGTTGGTACTAAGATAATGAAAACAAATATGTTATAGTAATTATCCTTATCTAAAATCTTGAACATAAAAAAATTATAAAAGAGAGTTTAATAGTATTTTCTAATTTATTTTATTAAACTGTTGTTATGAAAATATATCATTAAAATGAATTTAGAAGATTATTTAATAACAGACAAAATTAACAAAATGGCCTATTTGTTAGTAAAAAGGAGAAACAAGTAACTGGAAAATAACTATAAATTAAGTACACATAGAAAAAAATACAAATCTAAAAACTAGAAAAAACTAAAGAAATTGTTTGAAATACTATAAATTGAATACCATTTTTAATACTACACAAAAAACCCCATATCATCTGAATTTATTAGTGTGTAGAGTTTAATATTTAAGGAATGAAACTAAGTTTAAAAAATTATATAAAATTCCAAATGATATATATGATATTACATATCATATACTTAAAATGAAATTAGAAGAATTTCCCACTTACCTCTAAGATTGTCTTCTTCAACCTTATTATAATATATAATAAAATATTGTATTTATTTAATTTACGATTTATCATAACAAAAGTGACAATTGTATGATATTGTCATTGACTTGATTGACCTTATTTAACTTTCAATTTTTTATTATTTCACTCTAATTCTTAATTCACACTGGATTTGGTTAAATTTTTAGATATGAGTATTTTCTCTGGCCTTAGGTACTAATTTAAAAATAATTCACTTATGTGCCATGATTATTTAAA